GGACAGTTTATTAAAGCAAAGCAAACTCCATCCTGTTATCGGAGTGTTTAAACTGCTTTTAGCCCTTGTGTTGATTTTGCAGTGATGACATCAGCAAAATAAATAAATAAAATAATTAATAAATTAATTTAAAAAAGGCACCACAGTGATATGTACAGCATTGAAAAGAATCTGATATTTTTAAAATGTGATTTATTATTAGAAACCTTTACAGCTGTGAATATTTGGACATTACGGAATTTGTTTTCCTGAGGTTGCAAGTTCGAGCCCGGGTTGTGACAGAAAGCACATCAAGCGTAAAACAACAGCCCAGACTTCTCTACCGTTTCACTAGCAGAAACAGTGAAAGCGAGTAGAAAAAGTTAGAAAAACTTTAAAAGAAATTAAAAGAATAAAGAACATGCACCACATGAGTTTAATAACAATACATTTTATTGATGGACTCTTTCTTGACACTCAAGGCCAGCTTACATAATCAAACATAAAAACAGACATCACAGTAAAAATAAAATTCAAATGCAATATAAAATGAACAATGCAGTTGTAGAGGGAGTTCATTTAAAAAAATGGGTTTTCAGTTTGGATTTAAAACGGGGAAGTGAGTCTGTAACAAATGGGTGAGTTCTAGAGCTGAGGAGCAGAGCTGCTAAATGCCCTGCTCCTGTTGGTAGCCAGTTTAATTTGGGTTTCACTGCTAGAAATAAATGAAAACAAATAAATAAATTAGGGCTATGAAATTAATCGAGTTAACTCTGATTARTTTTAATGCTGCATGGGCATAGATTAAACATTTTAATCGTGATTCAAATTTACAATCATTTTACTATGGCTGAATATGTAGGTTTGTATTTTGCACTCAGTGCATTCCAGGTCATGTTTGTAAATGAGAAGTGGTTCTCAAACAGTTCACCTGGATAAATAAAGGTTAAATAAATAATATAAAAAAACTCCATGTGTAACACATTATGTACAGGTTTTTTCTTTTTGCCTTCTTATGGCTTGTTTTATTTTATTTATTTAATTAATAAATAATATTTAAAAATAAAAAAAAAAGTTTTATATTAAGTTTAAGATTAATCATGATTTATCGTGATTAAATTACAGCTAACTTGGAATAAAAAAATTTAATCATTTGACAGCCCTAAAATAAATAAATAAATAGCACGTGTGATGAGATGAGTCTGCATGAGTATCTGTACCAAAACATGAATATGTAACTTTTTCTTCTTCTGGCTTTTCTAAACTTCACTGAAGTTATTTTAGTGGAATCGAATTGGTCAGTGAATACAAAAAAGTAAAAGCAAATTAACAATTTCAATTTATGAGTTCATGTTTTATTTCTGCGCTTTGACAATACTTTAAAAACACATCTAGGAAATGGGGTTTAGATTTTAAAACAAAAAAGCAATTTAAAAAAGCAGAAGTCTGTTGGGGTGTTTCTTGTTCTTGACTGCATCTTCAAGTCTATTTCAAAACAGAAAGAAGTAAATGTATTACACAAAACTGTGTCTGAAAACTATTTCCAAAAAAATATCCAATATGTGCGATTATATTTTACAACAGTTGAGATTTAAGTGAGTAAATCAACAAGAAGAGTTTTGCTTATATAAACTAAACTATTAATTATTTAAACTACATAAGTTTATTTAAACTAAAACATGATTATTAGATTTACTTACACTTCAGGGTCACTGATATTTATTTTTGTATAATACTGCATGATATAACTTCACAGACAATTTAAGGAAGGATTTGAACATGCGTTCAGTTTGAGCCATACTTACATTAATGATCAGCAGGACTCCAGACATGATAAGAAGAATAAAAGCTGTCAAATAAAAATAGAAAACAACACTGATGTAAGAGAGTGCATCATGAACCACATTGTTAAACAGATTTTCTTGCACTTTCAACTGCTCAGACCTAAACCCGAAAGCACACATGTTGCTTTAATTATGCATCTGAAAATAACTTCTGAAAATATTTATCAGTTATCAGCTTTGAAACAAAAACAGTTTCTCCAGCTCAAATGTTACTGAAACTTAGCATGCTCAAATGAATTTAATACATGTTCTTGCCTTAAAGTATTATTTTAACTATCTAAGTTTGGCAAAACCTTAAGGTTTTATTATATTTTCTCAGGTTAATACAAAGTGATTTGTAAATAAACTTACCGTCACAAGAAGGTGCTACATTTCTGGCAGGTCTAGGGGTGGGCTGAATCTCACCTGAAGGTCCAGGGGTGGGCTGAATCTCACCTGAAGGAAAAGGGAAATCAGAAGAACATTAAATCCGACCCTGAACTGTGTTCCAGTTACAGCATAAATTGTGAAGGTGGGGATTTCCATGTGTGCGTACTTGTTTCTGCTACAGACCATGTGCAAAAGAGTTATTATCAAAGTGAGGACTTTATCCTGGTCCTCACTTTATTTGCAGCTGTACTGGTTAGGTTTAGAGGTATGGTGAGTGGGGATGGATGTAAAATCCATGTGAGCGGAGGCCTCCTAAGTGGGCCCATTGCTCTCCCCAAAAAAGACACTGGTCTTCATTGAAACCTTCTCGTCCCTCGGATGAAGGACACAAGGTTAGAAACACTCAGTGTTCTGAGCTTCTCAGGATCCATAAAGCGGTCCCCAAGAATTATTTTCCTTTGACCACTCAGAGCCAGGCAGTGGTCTAAGCAGTGCAAAGAGCCAAGTTTTAAGACAGAGATAGAAGACAGGTCTGTCTGGACTAACCTCTCTACGACGGACATGTCTCCCAATCATTTCTACTGTTTTACAGATGGATCCCTTCTGAAGGGGCCAGTAGGTGCAGGGGTGCTTATTTTGCACAACCATAGTAAGAGAGAGCATAAATACCCACTAGGTTGTTTTACAACTGTATCTCAAGCTGAGATATATGCAATCCACCAGTGTGTGGCATCTCTCAAAGACCTTCGGTGTACACAGAAGGAAATATTCATCCTAACAGATAGGCAAACTGCTATTAAAGCTCTCCGAGGACCACACTTTACGTCATTACTGGCTTGGGAGTGTGCCGAAGCAGTCAACCAACTGGGGAGASAYAAYAGTGTTACTGTTAAATGGGTACCAGGACATACTGGCATTTATGGTAACGAGAGGGCCGACTACCTCGCAAAAGCTGGCAGTCAGGGCCACTTCAAAAGACCAGAGCCTGTTGTAGGTACCTCAACAACAGTCTGTAGGACTGCCCTACAGGCCTGGATTAGACGTCAAAACTCAATCCGCTGGAGGGAGCTGATGGACTGTAGACAGGCACGGGAACTGATTAACGGCCCAAATCTAAGGTTTGGCAAAGCTCTCATCTCCCTGTCATTTAGTACACTGGTTGGAGTCCTAACTGGGCACAATCTGCTCAACCGCCACAAAATGGTGATGGGACTCCATGACAAGGGTCTGTGTGATGCCTGTGGCATTGAATTAGAGACCTCTTTGGTTTTAGAGGTATGGTGTAAACTAAGTTTTGGGTCAGTTTAGGATTAGGAATAGACCAGTAATGGTTAGTTTTAGAGAAGAAGTCTGGGTTAGGTATAAACACAGTTACAAAAATGAATGTGTCAGTAAATTCATAAGTGTTATGCAAGTATAACGATGGAATATAGTCCCCATTAGGGGTAATGCCATCGGTGGGTCGGGCCTTAAGGTGTGAATTGATTTTTTTTTCATCTTTTAACCAATTAATGAATATAATTCTCAAACAATAAGGTTAACATAATCATGTTATACATACACTCGACGTTTTCAATTGTGCCGCCTTTGCTTTCCTCCACCATGATCTCAGTTATGTTTGAGCAGCAGATACGGATGGCATCTCGGTCGAAGCACACAGAGCAGGTGTTTTCTTTTGGCGCCTTCATTTCAGAACATTTGGGAAACGTTTGGTTCTTGTTCTTCTGGTAAACGGGATGGTCGTCGTTTACATTCCTGAATATTGCCGTCATATTTAGACATTTGCCTTCGTCCATGCACGTGAAGCAGTTCCCCTCTAGAAACAGAGACACACTGATGAGTGAAGCAAGTAAAAAAAAGAGTGAAGCGAGAAAAAAAAGTTACACATGTACCTCTTCATAATGCAAATTACATCATACTTGTTGATTAATAGGTTACAACACAATCTCAGCTTCAAAGAAAAAGTAGTATAGAGGATTTCTATAAAAAACTTACAATTTCTCACCTTAATGTCACAATTTAGGGTTTTCTTCATGCAAGTTAAAGATGACATTTTTAGTTTCTAAAATGCAGTTAGTCCAGTATACATACGGCAGTAAGAAGTTGATGCAATGATGTCAGGGCCAGAATTTGGCTTCGGTGCACCTGCTGTAAGGACAATGACAAAAAAAGACAATGACATAATTTAAAGTACACGAGGAAGACTGCAAAGACTGCTAAAATAATCATCAGTGCACCATAATCACAACAATGAATATTTAAACAGTCACAGGCTGCAAAAAAGATTAAAATACATTTTAAATTACAGCACAATAATAATAATAATAATAATAATAATAATAATAATAATAATAAACATTTAATGACTTCAGAAGCATCAAGTTATTTTAAGGTTGAACTTTTTTCATTTTTACTAAAGGTAACACACATTGCGTTTCTAAAAGGCTGAGTAAGTATAGTATAAAGTACATACAGTTAATCCATCCATTGTTGTTAGAACCAGAATTCTTCTGTAGTGCCCCTGCTGTAAGGACACAAACGACATGAATTTGTTTAATTTCAAATGCATCAAAGCTTATCAGATATTCAAAACATTAAAATGATAAGTAGAAAATATATTTGACCACTTAGCAATATTGACGAATCATAGATTAAAACAATAAAACAATAAATAAATAAATAAATAAATAAACCAACATATTTTTTTTAGATTTTAACAACCTACCGACAGATCCAGCAATGATAACAATGATAACAATGCCAACAATCACTCCAAATCCCCAAAACAGCGACTTTTTGTTCTTTACCTCTGTGAATTCAAAACAAAAAAATAAAATTTTGATTACTAATAATATAAGAATATCATAGATAAACACATCTTACTAAAAGTCCTGTATATTCTTTTCCTTATTTTGTTCTTGTCATCCTTTCTTCCTCTCTGTTGCTCCACTGGCTCACCCTCAAGGCAGTCTTCTTCACTGGTGATTTCCTTCATCGGTGTAAAAGGTGATGTTTCTGGTGAARGCTCAACTGCTTCCTCTTTCTGCATTGTGTTTGAGGAATGGATGGGTTCCTGTGATTTATCGAAACTGGCCATGTCTTCCTCAGAGGGGATTTTCTGCAGGACTTCTTCATCCGTCGGTTCTTTTGGAATGAGCCTCACAGAGCTGTGCATTTCAGGCTGATTAGTCTGGATTCCCACATATGTGTCAAAGAAGCGGTGGGCCAAATTGACAGCGAGATTTTCATCACTGTAACAAACAACAAATTTTTTTTAGTTTCTATTAACACGTGCAAAAGTAAATGTAAATAGACTTAGAACAAGAGATTACATGTTAGTAAGAACACTAAAATATATACCACTCCTTGAAAGAATGCACAATGCCTGCCTCTTTCCTGATAGAGTTTTAGACTAAGACCAGTTTGTGTTGGAAAATGATTACGCAGTAGCTGCTACAAATGAGTTTCAGTTATCACAACAAATCTCTGCTCTTTAGTTGTAAAACTGGCTGAATTACAGCCACTCTTTTTGTTTTTAAGGTCAGCTGCCTGTGGCAGCTATTTAAAATCATGTTGATTTCAAATGTTATTTCATTGAAGATGACTTTCTGCAACTTATTTACTTGGCAATACAATGTTTTAAATAAAGAAGAAGAAGAAGAAAAAGAGGAACATACCCGCTCTCCTGGGTGTGTAAACTTTGGCCACCTTTAAGATTGAAACACACTGTTAGGATTTACTCCTTTTTAAAAGCAAGTTGTTTTATTCTTACAAAACACATTAAAAAGCATGTTTAATTTGTAATTTTTATACAATATATACAATAACTATGTTAAAAATGATCATACAACAGAAAATGTTTACATTAACATTAGCTTTCTTGTCAAAATGCATGCTAAAATCATCTAATATGCTATTAAATATAGCAGTAGCCTAGCAAAGTGTGCTTATAGTGTAAACATTTTCATTTTAAACAGTTCAGACACAATAAAGTGTTTGAATGTTAAATAGCAGGATGAGGAAAATAAAGTTGTGAAACTTTGGAATCAATAGCCTTTTTTAAAATTCAGAACCTATAGCCTAACTATCAGTTTAATGTAAACTTCTAACATTTCCTTAAGTTAAAATTGTCACATGTTGCTATTATAAACTCTAAAGTTGCATTATTTAGCATCATCCTTCTGTAGTAAATCCATATCTGGTTCACATGTTAACACCCCTCCTTTGGAATCCCCATCAAACTGAGGTCTTGTCAAAGGAGCCGGTCAGTGCAAGGCTTTAAGAGTAGAGACCTCTTGCTGCTCAACCTTAAGTACTTACTTATTTGCTGTGAATCAGCAGAATCCTCCTTTTTAAGAGTCATKGTCGAAGTATATTATCACTTTRAAAAGTAMAACAAGGATRTTTCTTCWGGATTGAAGAACAATCAAAGAGGGTTTGTTTATAAGTCCTGCGCTCTCGAGCTTCACTCGTGTACTGACCACTTCCTGCTTTTTGTCAAACTTAAGTAGGGTGCATGCTGTACATTTTTATACAAGACTTCCATCTACTGGAATTTGTATAGAAACGCCTCAAAGCTGATAAAAGTTTTGTAAGGATCTGTCTTGTGTGTGTGCTTTCTGTTGTCTTGTGCCTCCCTCTRGTGTTCGTKTCGTCATCTCAGTCCTCAGATTTTTCAGTCTCTTCCAGTKAGTTCTCTCACACATGTTGTCACCCTTTAATCACCCAGCTATTTCCAACGTCCACTCATCCCTGTTGGTATATATTCAGCTCATTTTTTCTCCACCTTCGTCCGATCATTGTTTGGTTTTTTTTGCCCTGGCTTCCTGCCGTGGCTGTGTGTTTTTGTGCAAGAGATCTTGGCCTCTRCAACCCCCGCTCCCCTGGTGTGAGCCACATAGTGTCTATTAAAACGCCAAAGACCCACAGCTCACCTACACAACACCTTCATCCCCCCTCGACCTAAACTCTTCAGACGTGGCTGAGGGAATCAAGATACATAAACAGGAATTGGCAGTCAGTTTTATTTACAGTATTTACAAAAARCAGCTTACACAAGCAATATATACATTTTGTTTTTTACAACAAAGAAAGATGTTTGTATGTAGATGTAGCTGCTTCACATCTAACACTTATTACACACCCAGGTTTCCTCCTTTCTACATTTGCGACAGGTATATTTTTTTTACAAACTGCACACTGTTTTGTGCCAGGACCAGGCTGGGGAYGTGGCTTTTCCATCATGGCCTTTTCCAGCATAAATCGCTGTCGAAGTTCCAGTGCAAGGCCATGTATAAAGTCTCTTCTGCTCTCTGTGGACCCAGTGCTTGCCTAGTACAACACACACACATTTATCACTGCCAGTTTAAGCATATTGAAAGAGTAACTTACCCCAAAATTAACTTTTTTTAGCTGATAAACTGCCTAGAATGCGTCTAAAATGTTATATAGTACTGTTTCTGTGCTAATTTTGATGTTTTTGTGCGTCTTTGTTCAAATCTGTAATATTTGGTCTAAAAATGTGTTTTTGCTGCTCATACGGGTAGAGCAGTGGTACTGCAGGCTAATTTGCACATTGGTTAATGGCTCTCCACGGTGACGTGTCTTCTCCACGGTTTCGTCACAGCGGCTGTGTTCTGGTATAAAAGCCTCTCTCTAAGACACGCCCCTGCAGCAGTCAGAGGGTGGAACAGTTAGCAAGCTTAGCATGATCGTCTGTTGACCTTCAGCACACACACACACACACACACACACACACACACACTGTTTGCAGATTTGGGTGGCTCTTTTTAACACACCAGGTGCAGTTACAGTTTGTTTACTTAGATGATCTTGCATGATTTGTTTTAGGTTTATTCCACATTCAAAATGGTTACCGTTGACTTACCAAAGCCACAAGGAAGTTCAGGTAGATTAAAAGGGTTTGGCACTTTCTTGTTTGTGTGTAAGCAACCAATATTCCTGCCTTTCTCAGAAGGTGGCACGCCTGTGTTGAGAACAGCAATTGTTTTCATTTGACGGTTTGACACATTTCAAGAACACATGGGTCGTCTGATTATTCAGCACTCTACGTATTTAATTATTGGATTTTCTTTCTCATCACTTTAAAGAGTTTTGAGCTTGTCTCAACATGTTTCAGKAAGAAAGGTTCTATTGCTTCTTTTTTTTCAGCATCACTCATGTTGTAATACTAAAATATTTGTGAAAYATTTCCATTGCTTTAGTTTACTTTATGGTGACTCATATTCTGTACATTTTTTTATTTTTAAATATATAATCTGATAACTTATTTGAATGAAAAGCTTTGCAGTGTGAAAACACAAGTTTTATTTTCTTTTGAGTGGAACAAAAGTACTGCAGCATCAAACTGTACTCATGTTTAATTCTAGCAAATAAAACGTGCACGTTAATATGAAAAAGAGTAACTGAAGAGGTTGCTGAAAGTAACTCAATAGAATAAAGCAGAAACTCTTTGGAAAGCAGCACAAGCCTCAACATGAGCTTTCATCTGTTGGCTTGATTATAAACACAGACAAGGCAGTGTGGTATTCATGGAATTGGCATTTAATCTTTTCTAGTAATAACTTGATTTGTCTGGGTTGAACTTAACTTTTAAAAGCGACCTCCTGTTTTCTTTCCAGATTGAACACAATCCCCCCCAATGGCGTTCTCCACAGCCACGCTTGCTAAAGGCTGCTTTGGCAAAGTGTACAAGGAGAAATACAATGACACCTGGGCTGCAGTGAAAAAAGTGCCACAACATCTCATCAGTAGGAAAGACCTGGAGAGAGAATGTGAAGTGTACAAGTAAGTGCAAGTGTTTTACTTGGAAAGTGCTCACTCAAAAAAATAATAATAAAATAAATAAAACTGCACTTCTATTCAGTGCAGAACTTGACTGTTTTCAAACTTTTGTTTTTTAAGTCACCTAACAATAAGCTATAGATTATTAGCTCCAAAATTTCTTGTTAAATGTTTTTGATAGTATATTCTGCAGACATTTCAGCATTTTTCAATAATCCTTACTGGTTCTATATCTGTTAGAAACTATATTGGAAAACAAATATGAAACATTCATATTTATCAGTTTTAGAAAATGTTTAATGTGATTTTTGTGACTGTAGTGAGATTAAACCCTAAATATTCTCGTAAAATTTCCCTTGTCACAGAATTACGATCGTTGTCTGATGTATCAGTCGAAAAATATGAAGATCTTTATTTTACTTGTCATCTGCAGGAAAGCAGAACATCCCAACATCGTGAAGCTTCTGGGGAAAGTAACTCTATCAGATGGAAAATGGATTATTCCTTTAGAGTTTATCTTTGGAGAAGATTTGGAGACAACAATTTTCCATACAGCAAAGTCTAAGATACAGGTGAGGTTACATCCATGATGTCACAAACTCAGGTTTTACTGTCAATCACACATGTTACAGAGTGTTGAAGGACATGGGGTTTTTATACCGATTGGTTTATATTCTTTACAAATTATTTCTGAATTAGGTTTATTCTTTTAGTTTTTATTTATATCACAAGAGAACTGAAGATGCATCTTGATCAACCCCTGACCTATWATGACTAAAAGTAATCTTAATATGTGTTTGGAAAACCTAATGTTTTCCTCTGTTTTTCTCAGCCTCTATAAAAGAAAATAAAAATAAAAAAGAACCTCTTGAACAGTCAAATAAGCCTCTGATTTTATTATTACTTATGTTGCCAGCACAAGTATTAACATTTATAAGACTTACTGTTTAGATGGTGTCTTGAAAAGATTAATGTGGCGTTTGTTTTGCTTCAGAGCTTTTAATTAAATGAAAGAAAAACTCAAAGTGCAAAATACGTTTTCCGTATTGTAAAATACTCTTTTAAAATAACTTCTTTTTTTCTTACAGTTGACTCCATCAAATAAAGCTAAAATCATCATTGGCATGTGTGAAGGACTGCTTTGTCTTCATTGCAAAGATATTGTTCATCAAGACCTAAAGCCTGATAACATCATGGTGAGTGTTAAAGTTTATACACACAAATACATCTTGCTCTTTATTTTAAAGTTGTTGTGAAAGACAGTAAATACAGTTTAAGTCTCAGGTGCTACAGTATGACATTTAAGAATCTTTAACAAACTTAAAGGGGAGTATTAAGTATTTTYWRGSMMMAAATTAAATTCTTTACCACAGTCAAGTAACCTTCAGGTGTAATAAAAATGCTGTATTTATCAAAAATAATTTAGATTTTGCATCACAGCCTTTCTAAACATGTTGAAATTGGCCTCTGTCTCTTTAAGAACCTCCTACCATTTCTGACACTCCCACTTCAGCACACCTTAATACAAGTGCTTCAGGACGTTTATAAACTTAGAGCATTGTAGGAGGGTCTGCTTGTCATTCCAAAAAAGGCATTTCCTCAATGAAGCCCTTTTATTGTATTTTTTTTAATCAGAAAAGACTAGACTGAGAAGCTTTTAGTAATATAATCTCATCAGGTTTKATACTGAGCTTCAGGGAGGAGCTTTGGGCAAATAGGTGGTACTTTGTACCAGCAAGTGTTCAGGCAGCTCCACATGGCTACCACAGGAGATTCAAGGATTTCTCAAACATGAATGAGTCAAAGCAACACACTGGTTTGTTTTTGATGAGAGAATGATATTATAACATGATATAAAGCTAAAAATAAAMTTGATTTTGCATAACTCCCCCCCACCCCACCCCGTCCCCTTAAAATATTTATCATTCATCTTTTTTTAAATTTCATTGACAATATCTGGTAACAGTTTAGTGTCTAATTTAATCATCTAATGAGGCACAGTGTAAAGATCCTGTGGTGTATTTCTCTTGTAAATGTGTATTAGTTGTAAACAGGGTGTTTCTTGATTGTTAAAGTATGTTTTGTTTTGTTTTTCTGCAGGTGGAACATGACACAAACAGAGCTGTAATCATTGACCTGGGACTTGCTAAGTTTTTCAGACATGGACTAAACTCTGCACAAGACATGGGGAACGAGGCTTACTCAGCCCCCGAGGTTCTGAAGATAGGCACCCAAAGGAGCCCTAGCTCTGATGTGTGGGCCATGGGGAAGATCATCGCTGAGCTCTGTGCTCGGGTCCGGCTACCAACACCGAGCGTCTGTCCGACCAAGATCAAGGAGACGCTGAAGGACCAGCCCTACTGTAAAGCAGTGTGTAGGATGGTGGAGCCAGACCCCTCGCTGAGGGCCTCCATGGCTGGGGTTATGACTGAAATTCGACGAGCTGGAGGAGCAGGAGTCGTCGCAAATACGCCCATTCAAAGGGAACTCCTTAAGCCTGTTTCACCTAACATTACTGGCAGAAGCCGGTCCCCGTCACCAATAAACACAGGTGCATATCTAAGAGAACGCCTTAAGCCCATTTCGCCTGACATCACTGGCAGAAACCGGTCCCCGTCACCAATAAACATAGGTGCACATCTGCCTATTAGGGCTCAATTAGCAGGAAACAAAGATCCATCGCCATTTAACGGAAACAAATCTCCGTTGCTGCAACATCCCAGACCAGAAATCAAAAATTTGAGTCCCCCGCATGGAGTGCGTGCACCTGCTCCTGCCAACATCACAGAGGACAAAAATCAGGCACTCGTCCCTAAAACAGATATCAGCAGCGAATTCATGAAAATGAAGTTGCACCAACAAGCTGCTAAGGATCTTCCCTTTAACCTGCCAGCCACGGGGAGGGTGATGGTCCGACGTTTCGAGGAGAAAAATGGGGAGATGGGTAGGTGGGAGCAGACAGAGGTGGTGACTCGTGATGGAAAGATTGTCAAGTATGAAGATGTGAAGCTTGATACTAAATAAGATCTGGCTGACGTCCGCAGTTGGTTTAATTCTAATGTTTTACAGTTGCAGTGTTTACATTTGCTTTAAATGGGCAACATCCTTGTGTTCAGTCATGGTGTGGCTTTGCTGAGGATTTGAACTTGTAGAGGTCAGAGAAACAGCAGAGAAATAAAAGGATAACATCAGCTGACAATGATCACTTCCAGATTRCTAAGCTGTTTTATAAGATCTTTGTTTAAAATGTGTCATTAACTATTTGGAGTCAACACTGTCTGTAACTGGACTGTTTTTAAGCTTTCAGAAAGTGATTAGTGGATGCTTACATCCAGGGCCGGCCCTAGACATTTGGGGGCCCTAAGCAAGATCTGTTTTGAGGGCCATATTTCACCATAAGTAGACCGTAAAACATACGCAAAACTAAATACTGATTATGAACCCGTACAGAAACTTTGGCCTCTAAGAACACAGTGTATAGTTTACTGAATGATCTCAGGGATGCTCAGAGTTGAAACTTTTTGAGAATTAAATTTGCTTTGATTACAAGATTCCAAACTTAAAGTTTAAACAAATGTATGATGCCAATTCAACAGAATAAAAAAAGATTTTAGTATGTTGAAACATTTATTCTCTAAATTTTAACTTTAACAAGCCAAGTACATAAATAAAACATTGAATACACATTCAAATCTTAACATGTTAGAGTATTTACAAAAAGTAAGGCTTAATAAATTTAGAGAAAATGCATTAAATTGAAAAATCATAATAAAAAAATATGGGAATATATTGTTTAAAGCAACGTCTGAAAGTCTTGAACACCAGAATTAAAATCTTAATTGCAGCCCCATCTTTTCTTTTTCTCACAATGTTCTGTTCCTTGTTCCTTGTAATGGCAGTTCTCATCAAATTGTGGGTCTAAATGTTTGGAAGCAAAATCAGCCAAAGGAAAAAGGAAAGCCAAAGGAAAATTTGTAACTGATTAACTGAATATTAGATTCACTATTGTATTTTATACTTTCTGATCATTTCAGTCTGTAAGGTTAAAGCTGACAAAGAGTTGATGTGTGTCTTATGTGTTCTTTCTTTAGCCTAAACAAAACTGTGAGTGACGTTCTGACATCTGACGTAAAAGGTAACACCTCCTGGGGTGTAACCAGGAAGAAAGGTACATTATAAGCTCAATTCATTTTTATAGCAGAAAGAAGTTGTCAGTGTGTTAGACAGTCTCTGCTTCAGAGCAGGGCAGCTGTGTTTTGTTTTGGTTCAGCCCAAGGTCTGCAAGAGGCCTGTGCTACTGAGTGCTGTATGAACCAGATTGGAGTCAGAAGACTGAGAATAAAGTTTTAAAGAAGAAATCCAGCTGATTCCTGTTTATTCAGATATACCATTTTGAACAACGCATTTGTCATAAATCTGACCTCCAAMCTCATTTGAAGAATTCAAAGTCTCTGTGAACATCTGCAGGAGCTCTGCAGACTCTCTCAGCTCAGACCTGGTCAGACACATGTGAGGACCATGGAGCTGAATCAGCTGGTGGCTTTTTCATCATCAGTTGCTTTACCACTAAGCCACTTTACCACTTTGATTTTACTCAAAGAGTAAAATCAGTTCAAGTTTTCAGTACTTCTGTGCACAAAATTCAGTTTTCCAAGAAAGGTATCTTCTCACACTGGTGGGGGGTCTGGGGGTTCTCCCCCAGGAAATTTTGATGAAATTAGATGCCGTTTCCTGCATTCTGTAACATTTTTTAACAGGTTGATAAACATATTTTTACTTACATAAATAAAGACTTGATTTCATAATTATTTTAGAGACATCAACATGTATGAATCATCCTGGTTTTAAACTCACTGCTGACCAAGATCAGGAAATGAATGTGATAATTTATCAAATGAGTTCAGAGTTCCATTTTACCTGTTTTCTATTCTTGATTTAGTTTTATTTGTAACACATGACATTGTGCCAAGACGTGCTGACACTCAACTACATGTTTAAAATAAGAATATTAATAATTTTACCCAATAAACAGGTGTAATTATGATAATCACCTAAATTTACTGATGGGCCTATTCATAACCAAAACTAACATGGCATCATGCAACCTACAAATAAAAAGTACCATGTATGTACTCTGTGTCCATTACGCCCATCTCAGTGTTAACTCTATGGTCAGTTCAGTTTACCAGTTTGCTTCTGTCTCGAGGCCCCCCTAGTGGCTGCGGGACCCTAAGCAGAGTTCGCTTATGCCTTGGGCCGGCTCTGTTCTGTTTACATCTACATAAGATTGATTTTTGGAGTCAGTCCAATTTGTGATGACAGCCTCAKCTAATCAACATAACTAACACAAATAGGTTTACAACTTTTGTCAGTTTTACAGATATTCAYCTAAGGTTTGGTGTGTTAGGAGCTGAGACTCAGCCACAACTTATACTGTGACGTCACACAATGTTGCATGAGATTGTGCATATTGCATTTATGCTTTCAGTTTTATTCAATCATGCCAACTATTTTTTGACAATAACTGTTTGTGTTATTGATGACTAAAATGATGTACATCACTGTATATCACAGCTATATTAGTAAGGMATTGTTATTCAGGAAGCTGCAATGCCTTGTGGTTGTCAGCAGGTAGTGCTGTTGTGTTACTTGTGTGACTAAGAGGTAAATTAAAAATAAATATAAAAAAAGATGAGAATGTAGGAGTATTACTTGTTGAAATAGGTGCTTTGAGACAATAAAAAACTTTGTGGATTATTAATAGTGAATATGAACACTTCAGTCTTTTCCAGACATTTTTGTTATTTATTTAGTTTTATCATAGTGTGAGCTGTATTTTTGTTTTTATTTGATGCCTTTTATGATAGTATATTTCATTGTTTTTTTCAGTGTCAACTTTTGTCATTGGCCTTTTTTTATTCTGGCCCTCAGTTTCTCTCACACCTGTTTCTGATATTCATTAGTCTCAGCTGTCATTTATCTCATTACTCTCAGTCTACTTATACTTTTGATTTGGTCTTTCTCATCAGTCTTTAATATTATTAGTCTCACTGTCTGGTTTCATGTTTGATCTCATCATGTTCTTTGTTGTTTTTATTATTCTGTGTACCAACCTGCTGCCCCATCAGCTTTTTGTTTTTATCATTAAAACCTTTTTTTGAGTCATTCAGTCCAGTTGCATTTCTGAGTCCTATTTAACCACAAAACCAGATATTTCCAGTTTACATGCACAGAAAGAAAAAAACAAACAAACGGATGTGCTTTTTTTTCCATCACATTGTGTTTGCCGTATTCAAGATGAAAAGCAAATCTGTSGTGGCTTTCAGTTTGTGTCCAGATGATTTTATCTCCTGTCTTTTATCTTGTTCTTCTACCACTTTTGCTCCTCATATTTTGGCTTTTTAAGCTTGATTCTTTCATGCTTTGTGACAAGCCGTGAGCTTTAACAAAGAAAAATAAAGCAAAAGAACATTGGATTCACTTTCTTTTTTTAATGCCAAACCAGGATAAACCATCGCGTTTCATCATCTTCAAAAGCAGCGTTCAATAAGGTCGCGCCGGTCGCTCTTTCAGCTGTGTGACCATCACCAGGTCTGATGGGTGATAGGCCYGACATGTAACAAGAGAGTGATCTGAGGACACAGACACACACCTTTATGCTCTGAWGCAGRCATTTTTATTTTTTCCCCCAATACAAACACACATATTCACATGAATTTACTTCCATAGGCATGCTGTATGCACACCTTGATTAAATATAAAATGTGCACATGCTCGCGAACACCCACATAAACAGAATGATATATGACAGATGGCTCTTGTTTTCAGGTTATAATAGCTCTTTCTGAAAAAGTCAAACATTAAATTTTTAAAGGTTTTTCCTTTTGAAGTCATGTTAGAAAACATTTAAAAGCTGCAGCTCTTTCAAAATTCAACCCAGTTTACAGWGAACACACTCCAGTGGTGGAGAGGACAGTAAGGGACAAGAAAACGAAAAGCAAACCAAAAGAAGAAATTAAAGACAGAAAGTTAGGCAGCTGGTGCTCTTCCACGTCAGTGAATTTAAAACTGCATGCCGATATGAAGCTATGCTATGGTTGTCCATACATATTTCATTTGAGGTGAGTTTTGTAAAATAATAAAAAAAAAAAATAGAATCATTTCTGAAGAAATTTTGAAAGGCGCCAATGCAGCTACACTGCATCTAACACCCTGCTGGATGCCCCAAGACTGCAGCATTTGCACCTGGGGTCAGTTATTCTCTGATTCTGTCCATAAAYTCCTCATTCCACAAACCCACTTTGCATCAATGTGCTCTGTTTCTCTTCCGGTGCAGTCGTCACTAATTTGGGTAATRTATGGGCACCATTAAAGCAGCAGCTTCAGCAGGTTTACTCAACACACCGTTCAGGCATCTTAGTGCCATTTAAAGAGATTTGCAAAGTACACGATGAAGCTAATAACATAAAACTAGTGATGCACACATGATCAAACACAACACATATCTAGTTTAATGAAGAAGAAAGTATAAAAATGTAAACTATGACTAAASGTGTGCATTTTAGTAAATGTTAAAGGTGACATATCAATAAAAATTAACCTTTTAGCTGGTAAATACATTTTGTTGTGTACTTCTCTAGGAAGCTGAAAAGTAAAATTTAGTCTCTCTTGGTACTGCGTAGATATCTTTATAGTCTGTTTGGCTAATATTTTTTTAACATGCTCAGCTTTCTCTATTTTCTACGATGTTTTCTGAACKATTACCTCACAGCATTTGCAACAGAACTGCTAAATAAGGTCTGGACTTACCAACTACAATTTGGTGGTCTTTTATTTTTATTTTTTGCAACCTCACAATGCGTCCTTGTATGTTGTTTTTATCCCTCATCTACCCTCGTGTTGGCTATTATTTGGTTTTCTAATTCAAAGGTACCTGTGCTCCTCTTGTATGTCATGTTATTCGTGTTTATGTCTCTCTTGAATGAGTTGCTGTAATTTGTTGTGCTCTGTACAATGACGAATAAAGGCATTCTGTTCTCCTCTGGCTCTGGGTCAGACTCTGGCTCCAACACGCAAGGCTGGATGGACAAGTCTTCTCTTGTTGACATCTTTGAATTAACTTGTATATAAAATGTTTCTGCACTGTTAGATAGACTTAAACACTTCTCTCAACGTACAATGGACCGCTTTGAAAGTTGGAGGGGGCAGAGTGTGAAGCGCCTTGTTTGGATTTAAGGACCTCGACTGAATGATTTAAATGTGAAAAATAAGGTTTTAAAAGCATGAAATGTCTCATTTGGTTTGAATATTTTTGCTTTGAATGCAACTAAAACAAATGCAGAATAAGCAAAAATTAACAAGCCGCTGCTGCAAAGTCATACCACACATGAGAGACAAAGAGCCCAGGTCACAGCTGATTGGACCCATTTCTGTCTGATTTGGCTGTTTCTGCCTGAAAGTGTCAAATCGAAGTTCATTCGCCGCACTTTCACATCCGTGCACAGTTAGGCGATCATGCGTGTGCTTCAGATGCCATGATGTGACAAATGTGCGCAAGTGAGGGATGTGTGATGCGTGTGCAGTTTTGTCACATCACTGTGTGTGTGTGTGTGTGTGTGTGTGTGTGTGTGTGCGTGCGTGTGTGCGTGTGTGTGCAAGTTGCTCGCCGGCAGTCTGTCTCCTCTCATCGAACAGATCTGACTTTTCTGCTCTCGGATTCTTTGCTGTCTGTCTCCAACATCTGGCTTTAGGTGGAGCGTGTGTGGAGACACTGTGAAATATGAAAGTGCACTTTAAGAGTGTTTTCATCATAGCTAATTGCAGGGTTGCATTTGCATGTTTTTT